AAAAAAAAAAAAAAATAGCATAGGCCATTTAGGCCCCTTTATTTAAAAATATCCCAAGCACGTCAGTCTTCACTCCAAACGAGGCACAGATGGCGGGGTTCTGTGCCAGGATGTGAAGCAGCCTGCACATTCCCGGGCTTTAAAAAGGATTAGTGGGACCCTAGGCTCTCAATAAGGTCCCTTTTGAGAGAGGCATGAGTAGGATTAAAAAGGGTGCCCTTGAAGGGGTCTCCCTAATACTACCCAGGAAAACCCCAGCGGCCGAAACTGAAACCCAGGCCGCTCCTTGATACGCCAAAAGATGGAAAGCGATACTGCGCAGATCAGACGCAGGATCGAAACCCCACTCTAGATAGAGCCTGAACCCTAAACCCTAAACCCTAAACCCTAAACCCTAAACCCCAAACCCAAAACCCAAAACCCAAAACCCTAAACTGAAGCCTAAACCCCTTTGTTTTTGAGCAGGGGCTGCAGCAACCCGAAACCTGAAACCGGGCCTTTGACCATTGAGCCTGAACCCCTGTACAAGCCCTGTCAAGCCGCGGAGGAAGTCCGATGGAGGCTCAAATTTTGCCGGTGCCGGGGGGGGTGTTCAAGGTTTCAACTCGCATGTTTTGAAGCTTATTGCTTAGAGGACCAGGGGTTTAGGGGTTTAGGGTTCTTTTTTGAGGGTTTAGGGTTTAGGGTTTAGGGTTTGGGGGTTTAGGGTTTAGGGGTTCAGGGTTTCGCAAAACAATGGCGAAAGCCGATGTAAAATCGGCAGCTCTTCACCGACAAGGAGCGAGGCCAACACGCCGTGGTGTCGGCTTCCCGGCATGAGGTGGAGCAGCAACATCGAGTAGGTGTGCTGATGCCTCAGCATCTCGGCTCCGGTGCATGCATGTCTACTAATACTCACATAAACTACTTTTGAAACAGGTTGTGAAGGGCTAAAACGTCTAAATCTGTCGCGAAACCTCACCGACTCGTGAATTTTGCTAAGCTCCTTCGGACCTTAGGAACATTGGTGTTGTGCGTTATCGTGGGGAAGAGAGTGGTGGTAAAACACCTACTACATATGAGGCTTAGGGCGAGGGTGTAGCACTCCCTAAACCTTCGCCCTCAAACTTCTAGCCTCGTGGCGACAGCTGTGTTTCCTTGGCTCGACTAAGACGAGCGCCCGTGGAGCCTTAGCTGGCAAGGCATAGGCATAGTTGCAGTTGAACAAGGTCTTGACAGGACGGGTCAAGCACGGTCCAGAGCAACGGTCAGACAAGTGAAACAGCATGATGGCACACGCTGCCTTTAAGGTTGTAGGATTTTTGCCTTTAAGGTTACGGATGAGGTCTTAGGAGAACAAGATTAAGCAGAATAGCAAGTACACCGTGTACTCCGAAATCCGAATCCCAAGCCATCACAGTCCCAAGCCCCCCAGTGAAGGAGCCTTAACAACCAGCTTAGCTCAAACTCTTGTCAGAACCCCCCCCAAGAAAAATATTCTACTTCTTGAGGCCCTGGTACTAAACCCTAAGCCCTAAATCCTGAACCCTAAACCCAAAGTGCTAAACCCTGAACCCTAGACTTCTAAACCAACGCAGGCCCAGATCTCCCGAAGACCAAAACCCTGCTTACATGCCTTTGAGCCAGACCCTCCACACCTCTCTGTGGGGGGGCCTTAATGATTAGAATAGGGTTTTTGGTTTAGGGTGTAGGGGTTTAGGATAATTAGAATAGGGTTTTTGGTTTAGGGTGTAGG